ACAGTCGACTAACACCTAGGTACCTACTTACCAATAGGTGAACAGGGGTAGCAGGTGGACGGGGAACATGCCTAAAATTTCCGCCTGCTTCGGGGATCGAACCACGGATAGTGGGTATGTGACCTGAGTGCGCTGCCAACCGAGCCACGTGACACCTTAATTATGTTCATATGACACGCCTAGTGTTCTTTGAGTTCTTATGTTCAATGAGCACGCTTAGTGTTCACTGTTATGTTCACATATGCCTAGTGTTCACTGCGTTATGTTCAAATGATACACCTGATGTTCACTCTCCATGTGACACGTAAATGTTCGATGTGTTCTTATGTACACATGAACACGCGTAGCGTTCAATATGTTACTTCTGCATTTCCTTGTTTGTCACTCCATGACTGAAGGATTCAGATATAACGACACCAGCTGCACGGCACCACCTGCCCAGCACCACCTACCTAACACCACCTACCCAGCACCACCTGCCCAGCACCACCTGCCCAGCACCTCCTGCTCAGCACCACCTGCCCAGCACCACCTACCTAACACCACCTACCCAGCACCACCTGCCCAGCACCACCTGCCCAGCACCACCTGCCCAGCACCTCCTGCTCAGCACCACCTGCCCAGCACCACCTACCTAACACCACCTACCCAGCACCACCTGCCCAGCACCACCTGCCCAGCACCACCTGCCCAGCACATCCTGCTCAGCACCACCTGCCCAGCACCACCTACCTAACACCACCTACCCAGCACCACCTTGCCCAGCACCACCTGCCCAGCACCACCTGCCCAGCACCTCCTGCTCAGCACCACCTGCCCAGCACCACCTACCAAACACCATCTACCCAACACCACCTACCCAACACCACCTACCCAGCACCACCTACCCAACACCACCTGCCAACACCACCTGTCCAAAACCACCTGTCCAACACCACCTGCCCAACACCACCTGTCCAACACCACCTGCCCTACACCACCTGTCCTACACCACCTGCCCAACACCACCTGTCCAAAACCACCTGCTCAACACCACCTGTCCAACACCACCTGCCCAACACCACCTGTCCAAAACCACCTGCCCAACACCACCTTCCCAACACCACCTTCCCAACACCACCTGTCCAACACACCTGTCCAACACCACCTGCCCAACACCACCTGCCCAGCACACCTGCCCAACACCACCTTCCCAACACCACCTTCCCAACACCACCTGTCCAACACCACCTGTCCAACACCACCTGCCCAACACCACCTGTCCAACACCACCTGCCCAACACCACCTTCCCAACACCACCTTCCCAACACCACCTGTCCAACACCACCTGTCCAACACCACCTGCCCAACACCACCTGCCCAGCACCACCTGCCCAACACCACCTTCCCAACACCACCTTCCCAACACCACCTGTCCAACACCACCTGTCCAACACCACCTGTCTAACACCACCTGCCCAACACCACCTTCCCAACACCACCTGCCCAACACCACCTGCCCAAACACCACCTGTCTAACACCACCTGTCTAACACCACCTGCCCAACACCACCTGCCCACACCACCTGCCCAACACCACCTTCCCAACACCACCTTCCCAACACCACCTGTCCAACACCACCTTCCCAACACCACCTGTCTAACACCACCTGTCCAACACCACCTGCCCAACACCACCTGTCTAACACCACCTGTCCAACACCACCTGCCCAACACCACCTGTCTAACACCACCTGTCCAACACCACCTGTCCAACACCACCTGTCCAACACCACCTGCCCAACACCACCTGTCTAACACCACCTGCCCAACACCACCTGTCTAACACCACCTGTCTAACACCACCTTCCCAACACCACCTGTCCAACACCACCTTCCCAACACCACCTGTCTAACACCACCTGCCCAACACCACCTGTCTAACACCACCTGCCCAACACCACCTTCCCAACACCACCTTCCCAACACCACCTGTCCAACACCACCTTCCCAACACCAACCTGTCTAACACGACCTGCCCAACACCACCTGTCTAACACCACCTGCCCAACACCACCTGCCCAGCACCACCTGTCCAACACCACCTTCCCAACACCACCTGTCTAACACCACCTGCCCAACACCACCTGTCTAACACCACCTGCCCAACACCACCTGTCTAACACCACCTTCCCAACACCACCTGTCCAACACCACCTCCCAACACCACCTGTCTAACACCACCTGCCCAACACCACCTGCTAACACCACCTGCCCGACACCACCTGCCCAGCACCACCTGTCCAACACCACCTGCCCAACACCACCTGTCTAACACCACCTGCCCAACACCACCTGCCCAGCACCACCTGTCCAACACCACCTTCCCAACACCACCTGTCTAACACCACCTGCCCAACACCACCTGTCTAACACCACCTGCCCAACACCACCTGTCTAACACCACCTTCCCAACACCACCTGTCCAACACCACCTTCCCAACACCACCTGTCTAACACCACCTGCCCAACACCACCTGTCTAACACCACCTGCCCAACACCACCTGCCCAGCACACACTGTCCAACACCACCTTCTCAAAACCACCTGTCCAACACCACCTGCCCAACACCACCTGTCTAACACCACCTGCCCAACACCACCTGCCCAGCACCACCTGTCCAACACCACCTTCCCAACACCACCTGTCTAACACCACCTGCCCAACACCACCTGTCTAACACCACCTGCTTAACACCACCTGTCTAACACCACCTTCCCAACACCACCTGTCCAACACCACCTTCCCAACACCACCTGTCTAACACCACCTGCCCAACACCACCTGTCTAACACCACCTGCCCAACACCACCTGCCCAGCACCACCTGTCCAACACCACCTTCTCAACACCACCTGTCTAACACCACCTGCCCAACACCACCTGACCACAGTCAGCTGTTTTTCACTAAAGTTCAAAATCACAAACCTCAACAGCAGATAAAGGAATTCTTTACAACTTGAAGCCAGAATGCTTTTGCTTTTCCAATAATTAATACCTGCTGTTAAAATGACATTCACACATTCTATATTTACGTCACTGCTGACATATTTACGTCACTGCTGACATATTTACGTCACTGCTGACATATTTACGTCACTGCTGACATATTTACGTCACTGCTGACATATTTACGTCACTGCTGACATATTTACGTCACTGCTGAAAATATTTACGTCACTGCTGACATATTTACGTCACTGCTGACATATTTACGTCACTGCTGACATATTTACGTCACTGCTGACATATTTACGTCACTGCTGACATATTTACGTCACTGCTGACATATTTACGTCACTGCTGACATATTTACGTCACTGCTGACATATCTACGTCACTGCTGACATATTTACGTCACTGCTGACATATCTACGTCACTGCTGACATATTTACGTCACTGCTGACATATTTACGTCACTGCTGACATATCTACGTCACTGCTGACATATCTACGTCACTGCTGACATATTTACGTCACTGCTGACATATCTACGTCACTGCTGACATATTTACGTCACTGCTGACATATTTACGTCACTGCTGACATATCTACGTCACTGCTGACATATCTACGTCACTGCTGACATATTTACGTCACTGCTGACATATTTACGTCACTGCTGACATATTTTGATATTTGTGTATGTTCTCCAATTACGTATATTGGTAACGTTTGTGTACTCGAGGAATGTGAATTTATGTGAACACATTCAGATTTCTAGTATAACCTTTGTCATCAGCTTATATATGTGAGGTGTATATCTGTGTATACACACCGTGAGGTGAGTATCTCTTGTGTTGGTGCAGTGAAAGGTGTGTATTTCTCAATGTACATACCTGTACACTGAGAGGTGCGTCAATGAGAAGTGTTTCTCAGTATATACACAGAGTGCATATATACAGAGTTTACATGAACTTTTTTTATGTAATAAGGAGTGTTTCACTGGTGGTGTACAGGTGACTTGCAGCCTTAACGACGATTTGTGTAGTCGATAGACTTTAACCTATATACAACTTAAACAATCATAAACACTACTCAGAATACAAATTTATTTCACATCCAGCTGGCAAATGTCTCCTCATTTACGTGACATATTCAATAAGTGAGTAATAATGAACACAGGAAGTGAAAAAAAAATGATATCGAAAAATTTCGTTTCCGATCAAAATCACAAGGAAAAAATTATATTTTCCCGTTGAGAGAAGGTTTCAGGTGGCGGCGGCGCTGCTAGGTGCCGCTCTGAACACTGAATCAATATCAGTTCTGAAAACCTGTTCTGAAGGGTGAGAGAGCGAGCGTAGGATCGATCCTGTACACACACACACACACACACACACACACACACACACAGGCGTAGACAGCCTCCTCTGTGCTGGATTTTGTTTAAAGGTCCTACAGCTTTAAGGTTGAGGAACAGGTGGTAACTGAAGTAGTGTGTGTGTGTGTGTGTGTGTGTGTGTGTGTGTGTGCGTGTGTGTGTGTGTGTGTGTGTGTGTGTGTGTGTGTGTGTGTGTGTGTGTGTGTGTGTGTGTGTGTGTGTGTGTGTGTGTGTGCGTGTGTGTGTGTGTGTTGTGTTGTGTGTGTGTGTGTGTGTGTGTGTGTGTGGTGTGTGTGTGTGTGTGTGTGTGCGTGTGTGTGTGTGTGTGTGTGTATGTGTTTGCGTGTGTGTGTGTGTGTGTGTGTGTGTGTGTGTGTGTGTGTGTGTGTGTGTGTGTGTGTGTGTGTGTGCGTGTGTGTGTGTGTGTGTGTGCGCGTGTAATGTGAATGCGCGTTCATGTGTACATGAATGCGTGACTGTGTGTCTGTATATCTATGTACGTGTGTATGAAATTATTATATACATCTCACTGAAAGCATTTGTAGATAACATACAAGGGTGATATACTCACCTGTGGAGGAACAGGGTAAGGAATGGCTGACTACAGGTGTAACAGTAAAAGAAACAAGTGTACTTACGTTTTTAAGGACCATTAAGTGATCGTAGAGGAAGGCGCACTCGGACTGGAAGAGGTCCCAGACCGCCTCTCGTCTCTTGGTCTCGGTCTTGTTGAGGGAAGCCAGCGCTTTCTCTACGCCCGTCAGAGCCCCTCCCATCTTGGCGCTGTTGCCGATCAAGGGCGACTTATTGAAGGTCTTCACGGGCGATCGTTCCGTGTGGACCCGCTCACTTAGCATGTTGAGAAGCCCTACCCTCCCGCGGTCCAGGGACCGTTCACTCATGGTCCGCATGATGGTCATTGGGTGACGCTTCCTGGGCAGCGGCGTCTCACGGTCAAGGCACGAGAGGGCCGACAGGCGGTCAAGCTTTTCCCGTCTGTCAGCAGAGTCGAGTCGGGGCTCGGGTTTCGTCGGGGTGATTAGCAGCGCCTGGTCATTGAGGGCCACCACTGGCGGGGTCGGTAGGTTGGTCGGGTTTGCTATGCTGGTTGGGTTCGTTACGCTGGTCTCTTGCAGTAGCGGCGTGTCCTGGGACTCTGTTGAGGTGGGCGAGTCCTGATCTCCCTGAGGTCCGTCCTCCATGAAGCTGACAAAGTCGGTCCAGCACATTCCCTTGAACCTGGAGAGCTGTTCATCCTCGAATTCGCTGGGCTGGAGGCAACTGAGAACTTCCTCCAGTCCACACAGAGACTCGGACTTGGTACGACTGGAACGGTCGAACTGCACGAGAAATAAAGCGAAGAATTAGCGAAGGACAAGGTGGGAAGTTGGGTCCAAAATACTTGATTCGAAGTTCTAAAACTGAAGATCAACTGACAGACAAATAATGATGTATGTTTACTAATGGTGACTGAAAGGAATTTTATAAGCACCCAACAGTGGAAACATGATCTCCCACAGGGTAAATATGATCTCCCACAGGGTAAATATGATCTCCCACAGGGTAAATATGATCTCCCAC